GGATCTGTGTTTTAGGAAAATCATGTCAGTGGATGATTGAAGATGGATTGACATGGGGAGAGACATTACAAAGGCAGACTTTGCAACAGACTACTTCAGTAATCAAGAAGAGAGGTGATGAGGGCTTGCACTATAGTGAAGACAATGTCAGAGGACAGAAGAGGAAATATTTGGGATGTTGCAAAGTTAAAATCAATAGGTAATCACAACAGATTAGATAAAGGAGGTTTAACTGGATGGAGATACAGCAAAGAAAACAGAAAAGGGGCTGTAAGCGAGCTAGGATGGAAACCAGGAGAGACTGGTGTTCTGAAAACCTAGAGAGAAGAAAATATAAAGGAACAGAGAATGTCAACAGTGTCAAAGACTACCAAGATGTCAAGGAGACTGAACATCAAGGGAAAAAAATTATTGGCATTGTCTCCTAAGAGAACATTAGTAACATTGGAGAGAGAAATTTTAGTGGAATGATATGGTTGAAAGCCAGATTGTAAGGGGTCAAGAGAGTGAGAAGAGAGTATGTAAAGACACCTACTGTAGATAGCCTTTTCAAGAAGTTCAGATAAAAGGGACAGAAAATATAGGGCACACTAGTAAGCATGGAAGGATTGAGTGAGAAATTGTGAGAATGAGGAAGACAAGGGTATGTTTGTAGCCAGTAGCAAATAAGCAGAGAGAGAGAGAGAGAGAGAGAGAGAGAGAGAGAGAGAGAGAATAAGTGAAAGAATGAAAGAATGGGGATCAAAGGACAATGTGTTGGAGGAGATGGGATGAAATGAGATCACTAGAATAAGTAAAGTTTAGTTTTGGTGAGGAGTAAGGCTACTTTATAGTGAGAAACAGGAGTGATGGAAGAGAAAGTTTCTGAAGGTATCTGAGTGATAGGAGAGGAGAAAGAGGGGAGAAAAATGAATTGAAGACAAATAACCTCATTTTTTCTTTCTGTAAAATATGAGACTATGTTCTCAGATGAAAGAGTGGGGGAAGGGAGAGTCATGTGAGGTTAGAGGAGGGATGAAAAATTTGGAAGAGCCACTGTGGAGAGTGGGACAGAACATTGATAAGTGAAGTATAATAGGATTGCCTGACAGCAGTGAGGACACAGTTGAAAAGTAGCATCAATTTATAGTGGAGTCCATACTTCTCATCATTTTTATAGCACAATTCCATCCTATTCATAACTCTTAATTTTATGAGCTGTTCCCCAAATTATTGGCAGAACTTTAATTCATTTGCCACCATAAAAGGCTGATATAGATAGGCAGAAAGATAGAAATGGAGATAGATATAAATAGATAAAGATATAGATAAGTTTGTCATATATATCACATATACATACATACATATACAAGTGTATGTATATATGTCTCTTTGTGTGTATGTATGTATGTATATCATATGGTTCTTTTTTTCCTTTTCAAATGGAGATCTAATTTAGTACTGTTGAGTCAAAGAACATGTATAATTTAATAATGTAGATTATAATGTTTGAAATAGCTTTCCTGAATTACTAGACCGGTTGACAGTTCCAATAACAATGCATTCATATTTTAGTTTTCCAGCATTTGCCATTTATCTTTTTTCCAACTTTGCCAATCTGATGGGTATAAGGTACACCCTCAGAGTTGTTTTAATTTGAATTCCTCTATTTATTGATTTTGAACACCTTTTTCCGATTACCATTCCTAGTTTAGATTTTAATTTCTTCAAGTTAAAAGTGGCTTTATTTTCTTTGAACATTTATCATTTGGAGAATGTCTAGCCTTTATTTTAATTTGACTTTCACCATAAATGATCATCCTCAAGGTAATGGTGAAAATCATCTGAGAAACAATTTGAATCTCTGATTTGGGGATGTTCAAGTTGACTCAGTTGAATTGGAAGATCCATATCATTGCAGTGGGGCTCTGAAACAGTATTAACTGAGAGTGAAAACAAAAAACAACTAAATACAACAACAGCAAAATCTTGATGTCCCTACCATCCTCTATTCCATACAAAGCCTCATGGGAAAAATTATGACTCCTTTACATCTATAATAGAAAAAACATCCAGAACAATTGTATGTCCAGTCATTGCCTCCTTCTGCCTGATAGTGTAATTGACCACAACTTCTCCTAAACTGATAAATGCTGAGCGGTTGATAAAGGAATTGGGCAGTTAGCTGTAGACTTGCAGTTGTCAACTCCCATTAAGCCAGTATGGAGGGTACATCAGGGAAATGCAATTGGTCTAACATTCCCAGACTCTACCACTCAGCTTAGACACTGAATCTTTGGTGAGCCAGGTACTAACTTCCAGGAGGCTTCATCTTAATTGACACATTTCATTATGTCACTTCCAGGGCACATACTTGAAGGTTCCAATAAAGAGAGAAGAAATAAGAAGTGTGCATTGTTTCACAAACATATTCCCAAAATAATAGACCTTCTTAGGGAAAGTACTTCTGACACTCTTGATAATTAATTCCTCTGAGAACACAGCTCTGGCTATGAAAATAGGTCCCTGAACATTTACGGGATTCTATTTAGATATATTTTTCTGTGACTAAGTAAAGCGAGATGAGACATAAACATTGGTCATTTAGACTCATTTCTGCCTGTCGTCATAAGGGCACAATTAGTCTTCTGTAGTATTTAAGTGTTCTATTTTGTAATTTTGTTTCTGAATTGTTAGAGAAAATATTACTGAATAAGGTTCAGTTTTCCTAGATGTAAGGTGAAGGAGATCCTGGAGGCAGTGATCCTGAGAATCTTTCCATTAATCACTGAATGACTCAGAGGTTAAACAATTCTGCCACCACCTTTCTATCCGATGGAAACATCATCATTAAAGTGATAATTCTCTTTCATATGTGAGAAAGCATCCCAATACTTACATCTAACGAGGGTAAGTTTCACTGCCTACTCTCACAAAAGTCAGTGGAGTTGATACTCACTTAGATTCATGCCTTTCATTGTGGTTCCTTACAGTGATTTAGTCCATTATTTTTGAAGAGATTTAATCTGCAGTATAACATTCTATTCTTAAAACAAGCTTAGAAGCAAGGAAAGGAAATAACTTCGTTGAATAATGATGATGATGATGATGGTGATGATGATGATAAAAAGCCATGAATTGCAGTGTCTGAATATTTCATTTTGATAGTTTCTGACTCGTCATCTTTCTGAGCCTCAGTTTCCTCCTCTGTAATATGAAAACAACAACATTTACAAAGGCTAACAGTTGGAGATGTTTGGGAGAAAAGTTCTTAGTAAAGTGTAAACCAACATATAAATAAAATTTGTTTACATTTATTAGGTAAAGGAACTAAGAAACAAAGAGAACATAAGTAAAACAGAGACAGATTCAGCAATTTTAAGAAAGATCTTCACTTACATAAGACCATACTGTTCTAAAGAGCAATTTTAAATTGGAATCATCCAAAATTTGAAAAACACGTAATATATGATACAGTAAGTCATAAAGCAATATAAACCATTAGATATAATACTTGACAGTAAACTACATGTGTGAACTTGTCCCAGATTTTCCATGTCTTAGAATATACAGGAGACTAGGTATAATTTAAATCTAAATACTGAGATGACTCCTTTTCTGCACTTGTCATTATGTTTGTTTGTCTGCAGTTAAAGGCTACATTGATAGGGTCATGACTTAAGATTTCCCTGGAAAATAAGCAGAGATGCTTTAAAAATAAAGGGAAACTCAGAGAAACAAAGACAGGATTTGGAATAAAAAATAGAGGCATGATGAAATAAAATAACACTAGGTTAGATTAGCATTTTCTCATCTGAGCAGTGATTGACATGTTTTTCATCTTCAGATTTTATTTTTCCACATTTTTTACAAGATATGACATCATGACCCTCTTCAACAACAAAGGATATTGACTCTTGACTAACTGACTTGAGGAGGATAATGAATTGGTAGGCACAGGGACTGAAGATAAAATAAATATGTTGTAATTTGGGGTTGGAGATAAAGATTATGAACCAAGTACTGAACTCTTAGAGAAATGAAAGAGGGTGATCTAGAAGACAGTGGATTACATCAAGAAGGATTTTGGTAAGGATATAGGTGAAGTTACAGCTATACCAAATGATATAGAGATCATTGAGATCTATATGATATACAGATATAAGCATAATGGTAGAGTAAATATGAAATAAGGAGAGGTAGATGATAGATTTTAGCAGAGAAAGAAGGTCATGATTGTGACAGTGGAGAACGTGTGTGTCAGCTCTCTTCATCCACTAACTTGAAAGACAACAAAGTCTCAACAAGACTTTCAGATAGCTATTAGGAAAATTTCTTCTGAGAGAAGTGTTACAATTGTATTATCTATCCATCCTAGTTTGTGTCATTTGCAAATATATTTTGTAAGTCAAATACAGATTTATTTAAGCCAATGATGAAAATGTTAAACAGTCCCAACATTCAACACATTCCTAAACTATCTAACTATACTATTTGCTGGGTCACATCACTCTATGTTGTGTACCTAAATAGCAGGAGAGGTATGATACAATGATTTGAATGATGATTGGGTAATTGAGTTGAATTTAACCTTGTTAAAATAGTTCTTTAAGGTGCCCAGTGAGGAAATGCATATAATCCTACCTTAAGATCATAGATTTATAACTGACAGACCACAAAGGAAGGAGACCTATCTCTATATACACATAAACACATACATACACACACCCCAATATTCAGAGTAGCAAACTGAGGCAAAAAGAGATTAAGTAACATGGCCAGGTTATGCAACTATGTAATGCAAAGAATAGAATGATAGACTTGAAATCCAAAACATATGAATTTAAATTCCACCTCAGAAACTTATTAGGTGTGTTACTCTGGGAAAATAACTTAACTTTTCCTACCCTCGATTCCCTTATCTCTAAAATAGTAGAAAAGTGGCATCTATATCAAAGAGTTGTTGTGAGAATGAAATGAGAGGACATATGCAAATCCCTTTTCAAACAATTAAAAGTACAAACAAGTATATAGTACTTTTAAAGTATATATAAATGATAGCTCCTCTAACTATTATTAGTATTATGCATTGGAGAACACTTTGAACCTAGATCTTCTTAAGTTCAGATCTTGTGCCCTATTCACTATACCATGTGCCTCTTCTCTAAGCCACTTTAAGTATAAGTATATAGAGACTCAGAGGGTGTAAATTTCCTCATTCAAGTTTACACAGTGACAGGTGTATTTAGGGTATGAATTTAGTCTTCTTTGATTCCAAAGCCAATTTTTTTCTTGACCTTTCTAGAGCAAAATTAAAAAAAAATGCAAGGCACCCTTACTGAAAACTTTTACTTATTTTTCAGATAAAAAAGTCTAGCCTGAATTTAACATCTCTATGGAATAAATGGATAATGGAAACAATGTGACTGAATTTATTCTATTGGGTCTTACAGAGAATCCAAAGATGCAGAAAATTGTTTTTCTTGTGTTTTTTATCATCTATGCTATTACAATGGTAGGTAACACACTCATTGTCATAACCATCAAAATCAGCCCAAGCCTGAATTCCCCTATGTACTTTTTTCTGGCCTACCTGTCCTTTATAGATGCCTGTTATTCTTCTGTTACTGCCCCTAAACTCATTATAGACTCACTGTATGAAAAGAAAACCATTCTCTTCAATGGTTGCATGACCCAAGTCTTTGTTGAACACATCTTTGGAGCTGCTGAGGTTATCCTGCTCACAGTAATGGCCTATGACCGATATGTAGCAATTTGCAAGCCCCTCTACTACACGACCATCATGAATTGGAGGTTGCGTGCCCTCCTGATGGGTGTGGTCTGGATAGGAGGCTTACTCCATGCAACTATACAGATGTTTTTCCTGATTCAATTACCCTTTTGTGGTCCCAATGTCATAGGTCACTTTATGTGTGACTTAAATCCTTTACTGCATCTTGCCTGCACTGATACTCACATCCTTGGATTAATCGGTGCAGCCAACAGTGGTTTCAACTGTTTATTAAATTTTCTCCTATTGATGGTCTCCTATGCTGTCATCCTGAGTTCTCTGAAGACTCACAGTGTGGAGGGGAGAAGCAAAGCCCTCTCTACCTGTGGTTCTCACATCACTGTAGTTGTTTTATTCTTTTTTCCATGCATGTTTATCTACATGAGACCCGCAATGACTTTCTCCATTGATAAAGCTGTTGCAGTCTTCTACACAATCATCACCCCCATGTTAAACCCTTTAATCTACACACTGAGAAATGCCCAAATGAAAAATGCCATCAGAAAAGTATGCAGCCAGAAGGAGACTTTGGTTAGCTAGTAAAAGACCCCCAATAAAACCACCAGACGCAAAGTCAGGTGTGAGGGGCAGGAAGGAAAAATATCAAAAGAAAGATTTTGTTGATGAGTAAAGGGAAAATTCAAGATATATTTAAAAAAAACAAAATTGCTAACTAGTGTTCCTTGTGTCCATATTGGGAACTTTACTTATATAATTTCCTGCAATGTGTAAAAAGGACTACACATTCGGGTGCATATGATTAGTTTCATCAAGCTATTTTTAGTGGAGCCAATGAATGAATAATAAAGAAGAAATGAGAGACCTATATTGTCTATGAATAGACTGTTATATACTTAATTTCTGAATATAAACATATCTATACATATATATATATATATATACATGGGAAACTTCATTTTTTTTCATTAATGAAATGCTAGTGTAGCATTGCCTTTTATTAAAAAGATCAATTAAATGTCACAATAATTTTGTGTATGTCTACTCTGTGTCAGGTATTTTGCACAGTGCCCAGAACATAGTCAGTCCTTAGTAAATCATTATTGACTGACTGAATACTAGGTGTGGGTGATACACAGGCAAAATAAAATCATTCTTGCCCTTCTGAAGCTTGCATTATATAAGAGGGCGGGGAAAACAACATGAACACTCAGAAGTAAATATGAAACAGATACAAAAGAAACACTATCTAATTTTAGAGGCAGCACAAACAATAGGGGCATATGGGAAATCAAGGCTTATCTAAAGTAAAGGATGACACTTGACCTAAGCCTTAAAGGATGCTAGGAATTTTTTAGGTGGATAAAAGAAAAGGTTGTCTAGTAGGCATGGGGTACAGCCATTGCAAAGGAGATGGAATGCTGTATGTGACGGGCAGCAAAAAGACCCATTTTGAAATGAGGAGTTTGGGAATGAGGACAATGTTGAAAAGCAAAGGACCATGAACACATCTCTAGGCAACATCTCCAAAGACCTCCTCCCACAATGTAAACAATATTATTTGAATCTGATTCAATCCATCCATCTGTACTATCATCTAGCCTACATTTGTTCTTCTTCTCCATTCTGTTCACAATAATAGAACAAAGGTCTTTGTCAGATGTACTGATAAAATCTGGTTAAAACATACATTCATCATTTATCCTGATCTATCAGGTAACATTACATATCTGTATGCACATCTATTGAAATCTGTATCTCTCTATTAATCTATATCTTTATTATTTATATAACTTTATGTAAGATTAAGATTTGACTACCATGAATTTTTTTTTAAATAAAGACTTTTTTTGTGATCACTATTTATTTTCTAGTCATCCATCAATTTACCAGCTTTCAAAATGTGGTCTCAATATGCCTTTAGTTTGCTTAGCCTTTTTAGAGAGCTTTTAAAATTAAAATGAATTTTTCTAATAAAATGAAGACATGTTTATTTCCTTAACAGTAAATTTCAATAGTGATAACGCACATAAACCAAAGAGTATCTGTCAACAATTATCTGTATACTTCTCATTCACCTACACTCCACTCGCTTCCTAAAAGGTCCTGTGAATTATGTCATTCTCTCAAAGTTCAAGGGCATGGTTAAACAGTTCAATATGATTGATAAAAGCGTGATACAATCAAAAGAAATTAGAAACATGCGTCAAAGGACACAACACCTCTATTCCAATTCCCCTTCTTTTTAGTTGTAGTCCATTTCCAATCTCTTAATTCTCTGAAACTGAGTCAGCAAGGAAATTCAGTATTGTATAGGTGCCCTGTCCTATTGTTTTTCTAATTAAACTTACCATTTTTAAAATTTTTATTAATTATTTATTTTTAGTTTTCAACAATCACTTCCATAAGCCCTCCTGTAATATTAAGGCATGGAAAGAACAAAGGAACTTGAATAACAAGAAGTAGTCCATTAGGAATTGAGGAATCCTGCTGAAGCTTTCATTGATTATTTTGATTATATCTTCATAAATGACCTGGACAGTTCCCTAATGTCATGGACTGTTGCATCTGTCTGTCTTGGACATCTACGTATCCCTGAAACCAGGTTCTGAACAAGGACATTATTCATGTGTTACAGAGGTTAATGTCCACAGAGGGTGACCTGACTGTCACAAACCTAATACAACTAAGCCAAAAAGGATGAGCATGATTTTGTGGGAGTCTTGATCTCTAGCTCTCCCACCTACTCTTCAAAGCTTCAAGTAGTTACTTCACCTTGTGTCACATCCACAAGTATAATCTCTTCAGGCTCTTTTGGCACTAAAAACAACTCATATATGTTCTAGTACTAAGAATATTTATGGGAATAGAATCCTTAGGGTCCAGAGAGGGTACTCCCCAAAATATTCCATGTATCTACAGGGTGAAGACTCTGAGGAAGAAAAACAAATTAAGGTCAGGATTGACAGACTGTGAGAACATAGAAGATTAAATGATGAGAAAATATGTTCTTAACTTGGGCATCTGTGACTTCGTTTCTTCAATATTTTGAAAAATACATTTCAATATAATCTCAATGTAATTCAATATAATCCATCATAATCTTATTTTATTTTATTTCATGTCTTTAAAATAGTATTCTGAGGACAGAGGGGCACAGGATTCATCACTCTGCCCAGGTTGTCTATCACATATACACATACATACACACACACACACACACACACACACACACACACACACACGCACGTACACACACACGTGATAATCAAGAAGTTCTGGCCTAGAGGTTGAAGTAAGATTAGAGTACACATTTTGAATACTGAGGCATAAGAAAAAGGCAAAATACTGGGAAAATATTAGCAAAATATGATTTTTCAGAGTATAAAATGATTGAGGTGGATGAGTGAATACTCTGCCTGAGTTTATGTGTATGTTGTAGGGCATCTTAGTAGACCAGTGAAGTGGGAGGAGAATGTTTCCTACAGCATATCGATATGCTATTGGAGTTACCATGTATGAAATCAGTAATAGAAATAGAGAGGAAACCTGTGAGCCAAAAACTAAATTCCTTGAGAAAGGAGGTACCTAAAATCCATTATATATGTGATTTCAGGAAGGATAAAATAGGATGGAATTCAAAGGATTGCAGGGTAAGGGAGACCAAAAGTAAGGTGTAGCAGGAATCAAGGAGTTCTACCTCTCTACCAAGGTGGCAGGGAATATAAAAGTACAAACAAATTCACTGCAAAATGTGGTGCAGGATTTTTAAAATAGTTATTTTGTTTTGTTTTGTTTTGGGAATGGGGTCAGATAAAGGAATCATAAATGAAAGGGATTTGATTTTCTAAAACCATCTTATTCATTCATCCATTAATTATCTATTTATTACTCATTTATTTGTTAATTGATTAATTCATTTTTTTATTTGCTTGTTTACTTATTGGAGAATAAGTCTCCTTATCTCATAAATATTGGAATAACCTCTCATCGACCCAATCCTATTACTGTTAGGTATAGGATCTTTGGCCTCCTTCATTTCTGACCTGGACTGACCCCTCTTTCACAATCTAGTGGTCCTCTAATCCCCAGACTGCCATATTGGCTCTAGACTTATTGTAGATACAGGATTGCTTAGCCCAGAAATGAATACAGCACAGAAATCTATAAAGCTCAAGGGAATACCCAGCATGTAGATTCTCCTCTTTCCAATGCACTCAGACATGATTTTTCGTAACCAGCTAATCATTTCTGACATATATCATTCTTTTCAACCTTCTCCTTTAACTGTTAGCCATGGTAAAAAAAAATACCTTTATTTTGAAGACTTCATTATTTTGCCTAAATTTTAGTAATTTTTAGCAGTTCTTTCTGGGTTTTTTTTTTGATGATATTGTTAAGATATTAGGAGACACCCTGTTTTCCAGAGATAAAGCCCAGAAACCAAGTTGTGCCCTGAGCTTGGCATAACAACTATCCTTTGGTCTTGATTTCTGGAACCGATTGTCTCTGAGCTCAGACAAGTACCAACAGGTCTAGACATGAAGCTCTGCTGTGAATGGACTTTTTGTCACTAGACAATCTTGCCTCTCTGTTGCTTTTGTGCTTCACTACTGTTGCTACGCTACTCTCTTTGACTCTTTGTCTAACTATAAGTATGTAAATCAAGATCCATCCTCACTGCCTTGGATCCCTCCCACAAGGGGTAGGGCCCTGACACATGTGTCTAATCTACCTCCTTGCTTGCAAGCTGTTTCCCTCACTTTGAAATTAAGCTTCTGTTTGATTCCTGACCCTCCTGTTTCTAGCCTGCTCTGTTCAGCTCTGACCATCCACAGGTAAGAGGTCAGTTAGATCTGGCTAACGATTGGTGTCAGAAGTAGAACTGAACACAGAACCAAGCCAGTGGACTCAATAGTAGTATTGAGAATGGATGAGGCACCACTAGAAATTTATTTCTCTGGAGTCCAACCCCATCTTCTCTGGTAAATCATCTGCTCTTATCCCTGCCTTTTCCTCTGACCTCCTGCCTTGAATGAGCTCACATTTCTTTCTGAAGAAAATCCCAGGGCTCCTGCAGCAACCCAGTTCATCTCAAATCACTCTGGTAATGATATCCTTTCTTTTTCTTTTTAATAAATTTATTTATTTTTAGTTTTCAACATTGACTTCCACAAAATTTTAAGTTCCAAATTTTCACCCCATCTTGCCCCCCCACCCCAAGATGGCATGCATTCTGAATACCCCTTCCCCTAGTCTGCCTTCCCTTCTATCTCTCCCTCCCTTCTCTTATCCCCTTTCCCTTCAATTTTCCTGTCAGGCAGGATAGATTTCTCTACCCCATTTCCTATATTTCTTATTTCCCAGTTGAATGTGAAAACATTTTTTTTTTAAACATGTGTTTTTAAAACTTTGGGTTAAATATTTTCTCCCTTCCTCCCTCGCCACCTGCCCTCATTGAAAAGGCAAGCAACTCAATATAGCTTATACATGTGGAGTTATGCAAAACACTTCCATAGTAGACATGCTGTGAAAAACTGACTCCATTTCCCTCAATCCTATCTCGTCCCCCTCATTTATTATAATCTTTCTTTTGACCCTGTCCCTCCTCAGAAGTATTTGCTTCTGATTGCCTCCTTTCCCAATCTGCCTTCCTCTCTATCATCCTCCTACTCTCTTGTTCCCTTCCCCCCCCTCATTTTCCTGTAGGGTAAGACAGATTTCCATACCCAATTGAGTGTGTATGTTATTCCCTCCTTAAGAGAAATCCTATGAGAATAAGATTCACTCATTCCCTCTCATCTTCCCCCCTGTTTCCCCTCCACTGTAAGAGCCTTTTCTTTTCTGTTTTTTGTGAGATAATTTATCCCATTCTACCTTTCCCTTTCTCCTTCTCCTGGTATAATACTCTCTCACCCCTTAATTTTTTTTCTCCATATATGACACTTTCATCTTCAGCTCACCTTGCGTCCTCTAACTATCTATCTATCTATCTATCTATCTATCTATCTATGTATCTGTCTATCTATCTATATATACATGCGTGTAATTTTTTTCCCTCCACCTACCCTAATACTGACAAAGGTCTCATGAGTTACAAATATCATCTTTCCATGCAGGAATGTAAACAGTTCAACCTTAGTAAGTCTCTTATAATTTCTCTTTCCTGTTTACCTCTTCATGTTCCACTTGAGTCTTGTATTTGAAAATCAAATTTTCTATTCAGCTCTGGTCTTTTCATTCAGAATACTTGAAAGTCCTCTATTTCACTGAATGACTATTTTTTCCCCTGAAGGATTAAACTCAGTTTTGCTTTGTAGGTGATTCTTGGTTGCAATCCTATTACTTTTGCCCCCTGGAATATTATATTCCACGCCCTTCAGTCTCTTAATGTAGAAGCTGGTAAATCTTGTGTTATCCTAATTGTGTTTCCACAATACTTGAATTGTTTCTTTCTGGCTGCTTGTAATATTTTCTCCTTGACCTGGGGACTCTGGAGTTTGGCTACAATATTCCTAGGGGTTTTCCTTTGGGGATCTCTTTCAGGAGGAGATCGATGGATTCTTTCAATTTGTATTTTGACCTCCGGTTCTAAAATATCAGGACAGTTTTCCTTGATAATTTCTTGAAAGATGATATCTAGGCTCTTTTTTTGATCATGACTTTCAGATAGTCCAATAATTTTTAAATTGTCTCTCCTGGATCTATTTTCCAGGTCAGTTGTTTTTCCAATGAGGTATTTTACATTGTTTTCTAAATTTTTCATTCTTTTGGATTTGTTTTATAGTGTCTTGATTTCTTATCAAGTCACTGCCTTCCAATTGCTGTATTCTAAGTTTTAAAGAAGTATTTTCTTCAGTAATCTTTTGGACTTCCTTTTCCATTTGACCAATTTTGCTTTTTAGGGCATTCTTCTCCTCATTGGCTTTTTGGGCCTCTTTTGCCATTTGGGTTAGGCTATTTTTTAAGGCGTTATTTTCTTCAGTATTTTTGGGGGGTTGCCTGTAGCAAGCTGTTGACTTGTTTTTCATGATTTTCTTGCATCACTCTCAGTTTATCCTCTACTTCTCTTACTTGCTTCTCAAAATCCCTTTTCAGCTCTTCCAAGGACTGGGACTGAATCCTATTTTTCTTGGAGGCTTTGGATGTAGGAGCTTTGACTTTATTGTCTTCTTCTGTTTGTATGTTTTGATCTTCTTTGTCACCAAAGTGAGATAATATAGTCTGACTCTTTTTGCACGGTTTGCTCATGATCACAGCCAATTACTTTAGTTTTAAACTCTTTGTTAAGGTAAGAGTCTGCTTCCAATGTGGAAAATGTACTGTCCCAAGCTTCGGGGATTTGCACAACTATTTCAGAGATACATCTAGGGACCTGTAAATTTTCAGTTCTTCCAAGGTGCTATGATAAGGGGTGAGGTGTTTCCTCTCTACTGCCACAAAACGTTTCACCACATCAGCACTTCTCCTCACCCCAGGACTGCCTCTCAGAATTGTGACCCAGATCCAAGCATGGGCAAAGCAAGAGATTCCAGCCTCAGCACTGGCAAAGAGATCCCTGCAATACCCCTCTGATTAGCCATTCGATTCCCCCTTAGTCTGTGGTCAGAAGCTCAGGAAACAGCCATGGTCCCAGGCCAGGCTCGAGACTTGCAACTGAGACCTAGCTCCTCTCTCACCACAGTCACAGACTTTTCCCACTGACCTTCTAAGTAGTCTTTGGCATTCGTGGGTTGAGAGGTCTGAAAACTGCCACAGCTGCCCGAGATCCAGTCCTCTGAGGCCTGTTCCAGGTTCGTTGTAGCCTGCACACCCAAGTTGAACTGCACTACTCTCCCAGCCCAGCACGATGTATGTTTCCAATCAACCACCCAGGTTATCTTGGGCATTTGTTTCACTGTCTTTTTGTGGGTTCTGCTGTTTTAGAATTGGTTTAGAGCCATTTTGTATAGGTTTTTGGTGGGGTTTGGGGGAGAGCTCAAGCAAGTCACTACTTTCCCGCCACCATCTTGGCTCCGCCCCCAAAAGAAATCCTTTCTTAAACTGCACATCTTAGTTAATTGTCCTCTCTGCATGCTTCTGCTGTTTTTTAAACTACATGTCTCTGTAAAGTGGAAACTTCAGGCCTCTCTACCTGTGTGCCTCTGAATGGACTGTGATTGCACATTTTGTCAAAAGAAAATTGTGTTTGTATTGGTCTGTTGTCGTTTTTTCTGTTTTTGTGTCTTTGTGAAATATAAAATGTCTGTGTCATGTTTCTGGCCTGTGTCGATTTTAACTTTGAAAGATTTAAAATGCAGACAGCCAGAAAAAATCTAAGTACTCAAGTCAAAGAGTTCAGAACACTAGGAAATATTAATGGACTTCATACTTAAAGCAATTGTCCCAGTAAGCAGGTTTAACTCCTACTTTAGGATTTCCATTGGAGATTAGGTAATAAGAAAAAAAAAGTCAGATAATCAAAATTTGTAGAACTACTACAAACATCTTAGCAGATTAAGGAGTTTGAAAATTAATCATTTTAAGATTTCAAAGGAGAACTCCTGAGACTTTGCGTAATTCCAGGAAATCACTCCCTTCTGAAATATATTAGAAAGTTTTGGGGAACCACTTCATATACTTTGTTTTAAGGAAAAATAAAGATAAAATTTTATAAAAGTTTAAAGTAGAGGGCATTATCCTTTGAAGATTGGTAGCTTCATTGTTCTAGGACAATGAAGGAAGGCAGCTATTTTGGAGCAATCCCAGAGTGACGAAAGAGAAAAAAAGTAGTTAAAAGGTTTGCACATTATACCTACCTCTTGTTAACCCTTTTTCAATCATGTCAGATCAGGTTCCCAAATCAGGGAAAAATGCTGGAAAAATGAAGGGGAACTTGAATTATTTTCCAGTTACAGAAATGTATTAGCTGTGTAATCTTAGGCAAGTTATTTTATTTCTGTTTGGCCCAGTTTCCTGATCTGAAAAGATAAAAATAATAATGATACCCACCTCCCAGGGCTGTTGTGAGACCAAAATAATATAACAATTGTAAAATGCTTAACAAAATGACTGGCATATGCCAAACACATTGTTATTATTTCTTTAATTGAGTATAATAATCATTCCATATGTGATAACTCTAAAGTGCTTTTGAAATGCTAAAGGTAGTAAGATTTATGATTTTTATATGATAATTTGTAAAAGCAATTAATGGAATGGATGCCATGTGACATTGTGTTTCATGTTTTATATACATGATGTTGTTTGTGTTATTATTGTATTTCTAAATTCTGTTATGTTGTAAAATTTGAAAGACCATTGTAACAGAAAGGCTGTTAGACAAAACAACTTTTTAATCTGGATGGTATTACACATGAATTGGACTTTTAAAAAGATGTGAAAAAATAGGTATTTAAAAACTATTAAATATTTAATGAGGTATAATTTGTTATAAACATAATAACGTTTATAGTTAATTTGTATTTGAAAATTATTGGCTGTTATCAAAATTTGTGGGGTGGTTAGAAGATGCAGCTTCAACATATTAATGATGAGTT